AAAAAAAAAAAAAAAAAAAAAAAACCACTCCCCAAAAGGCGAAACACGCACAAAGCCTGGAAAAGGGTACTTCGGTGTGTATTTCTCCTAGGGTTTCTTCTTAATCCTGTTCTCTCAGGTTGTATTATTTGAGTTACAATAGCTTGAGTCCTCCCCTTTTATTTATTTTTACCTTGAAGATAATCTGAACAGTCCAGCAAATAATCATTTGTGGTTGGACAAAAGATGAAGTGAGGTGCTCCTGTACTGACCCAAGTTTAACCAAAAAATAATCTGGAAGAATACACCAAAAGACATAGAATATCCTATACATTTTTGAATAGCTATTCTTCAGAGTTTTTCTAGCAGGGTAGATTTCAGTCTTTTTGTTGTTTTTATTTGTTTTGCATTTTTTTATTTGTTTTTTCTCCTATAAAAAAAATCAGTGTTTAAGTCTCTAGTCACCCAAATAAAGCATTTGTGTACTTCCTTATAATCTAAATCAATAAAGAACGTTTCATACGATACGATTTTACTTTTAAGCTTTTTTGACATCTCTTTGTGCATGTCCAGCACTCAGTCAGCTCAAGCCCAACAAAGCCAGGACAATATTTTCRCTTTCCAGGCTATAACCACATCTCTTTTACCAATCACGTAGCCCAAGCTCAGTGATTGTTTGGGCCTGTAGCGTTGGGATTCTCCTTGAATCAGTTTTCCTACTTCACTGATTCTTCCTGTGCAAGGTTTCTAATGCAGGTTCTTCTGTCTCATCATGCCACAGGTTGGTTTCACGGCAGTTCCTCTCTGGTTTTCTTCCTCTTCCACTTCCAGCYTCACACTTCCACAGCTCCGACACTCAACAGAGCCCTCAGTAAGCTGACTCAGCTCACTAAAGCAGCAGGACATGAAAGAGGGAAGAAAAAAAGGAAAAAAAAAGTCTACTTTTGTAGCCAAGTGGAGCAGCTCACCAGAACAAGAGATAAGAGCTTACAAAAAGAGAAGGAAGAGAGCAGCTATGGTCTGTGGGGAAAAAGGAATGGGAAAGGAGGACAGATTGCTCATTTCAGCAAGAGTGAGCTCTTAATTCCATTCAGTCATGTTACTGAACCAACCCTAAGAGCAGACATATAATTCCGCTGCTCAGATGAATACCACCCATTAAACTTCAGTAATTCAATTGCGCTTGAACTAATATATGAACCAGTAACAGTAGTTTGTTTGTAAGCTCTCTGGACCACGTACTTACACTTTGCCTTTGTGATCTTTGCGTATGACTGGAATCCCTAGCCATTATTATATATAAACAATAATAATTTTCAAGAAATCACAGAATAACAGTAGGTATCACAAAAACATACTGCTATCCCATRGAGAAATGTTCTCATAGTCTTCACGACAGCTGTAAATAGCTACAATTTCAATTCTTTCCACAGCAGCAAAGCTATTAAGAGAGAAAATAATTCTCAGAATTCGGTGAAAGCATTTGTTTGAGGATGCTGTTTACATTGATTGCAGCTGCCAAAGTGCATGACTTTTCTGCTTGCTTCTGAGCCTGAATACTGCTGAACAAGGGCAATACCTGTGGGCTGCAGCAGAGAGGAACCTTGCGGTGCCAAGCGCAGAGCGGTGAATCGATACTGTTCTCTGCACTTGGAGGGACTTTGACAGGTTGATTGCAGAAGGTGCAGTGATGGTATCCAGGTTCACAATAAAATATAAACGTATAATGTACCTATTATATAACACTCTCTGCTTTTAAAGTTTCACCTAAATGCATTTAAGATGCACAGCGTCCCTCTAGCGCAAAGCAAGCAGCTGGTATTGCAGAGCAGTCTGTGGCTGCAGCTGCAAGAGGGCATGGTTTCCATTTTGCTAGGCTAAGGACATGGGCTGACATTTTTGACACTTCTGATTCATCTATGCAAGTGCAAGACATGAAGTCAGGCCTGGTAGAGGCCCTCAGTTCAGCAGTGGCTGCCTAAATTCCCCGTTTGGGATTTTTCTCCCCATAATTAGGGAGGTTGAGGTGTGGGGATGGTTAGCTCAGATCCATGCTGTCCTTRGTTCAGCCTGGAGCCCAGATTCCAGAAAGCCAATTTTTGAGGCTGGTGGAGCACTGATCCACCCTGCAGGTCAGGTTTTTCATAGCCCAGCGGTGTTGGTGGACTGGGTGATGCAGATGTCCCTGCAGCCCTCCTGTGTGTGGTCCTTCACCAGCACTCGCAGTCAGGACSCTGCTCCCTCAGCAGGGCACTCTCCCATCTGACACACTCCTCCCCAAACCATCTGCAGGAGCCCTCCCAGCTGCCCTGCTGCTGTGGCCGATGCTCACACTGTGTCCCATCTGTTGCTCCATGAGGAACGTGACCTCTTGGCCKGGAGAGGGTAACAAGCAGCAGAGGAGGGAACACCACCGTGAGTCCTGCTGGCTTGGTCTCATGAACTGCATCAGTCTCCAGTGAGTAGAGCTGCAGAGGCCTCGTCCTTTAAAGGTCACTCATCAGTTGTGATGGATTTGGGGCTTTACTATTTCTTCCTAGTACAGGGGGATGTTGATACCTATGAGGTGCTCCAGCCTGGTCAACTTCAAGCCAGGAAAGGACAGAAGAACCAAGCTGAAGGGTGGCATGAGCTGATGGCTCTGCTGCTTCTTCCTCATTTCAGAAATCTGGGAAGATTTTCCATCAGACACTATGCCATAAATGTAGTAAATCAACACACTGATTTTCCTTCCCCCTTTTCTCTAACACTGCTGCCATTTTTGGGCAACATCTGCTCCTCATTCCTTCCCAGCCCACTATTAATAAAGCAATAAGCAAAACAGGATGTGGATTAGGAGGCTAATGGGCTTTAGGACCTGATGGAGCACGGAGAAGAATAAAGAATAAAGACAAAAGACAAGAGACTTCCCCCCGCAGGGACTCTCACCAAGCTAGTGTTCTAATGAACCCCTGAGGGCGGTCACTGCTGGGAGACAAATGCTCATTATTTTCACGTGGGAAGTCACAAATTGCATTCTGAGCAGCATGTCCTAAAGCGACACATTCAGACCATGTTGCGAGAAATCCACCTTRGGTTTGGTCAGTCCTCTCTAACAATCTGCAGGGTAGAGCTAGCTGCATGAACAAAGTAAATATGCTCAGGAACACAAGGCAAGTGACAATGACATAGGGAAGAAAAAAGAAAGTCCCCAAAATAATGTTTAGGCTTAGGGGCAGTGGCAGCAAGCATTACAACTGGACATACTGGAGAAAAAAAGGATTATGTTGCATCAGGACTGTAAACACAGTCTTCCTTTTGAATACCTAATCACAGGGTAGAGCCCTTGCCTCCTGAGTTAGTCATGATGATGACTCCATACTGCTTATGGTTTTATTTTAGAAGATAACAAACCACCGTCGGTAAGTCATACTTCTGATAATTTTAAGAGATGTGTTCAGAATAAGATCGTTCTTCTCAAAATAGAAGTCCAAATGTTTAAGCATGTTTACCTGAAAAAAAGCTAGTCAAGTGTCTTCAAAATGGGACCAACTTTCATTTATGCATTTCTGTGGAGGTAATGGGGAAAAGCTTTTCTGTTCTGAAACATAAATTTGGGAGTTAAAAATCCCATTTTTTTTAGACATCATAAGGAGTATTACAAATTAATGAATTAATTAATTAATAAACCCTAGAAGTAGAGAAAGCATAAAGTAGTCAAGGAGAAGCAAGGTGCATTTTCATTTTCTGTATACCATGAACCTGTGG